TTTCCCCGTCATACAGGCAGTCCTTGAATTACGACCACAACGGAGCCCCCAGTCTCTGTTGGTAGGCAATACGATTGTTAAGTGAGTTTGGCCCCATTTAACCACCTCTCTTGCCCTGGTTGCTAAGTAAATCACTGCAGTTGTTAAGTTAGTAACATGGTTGTTAACAGTGGTGGGATTCAATTTTTTTTACTACCGGTTCTGTGGGCGTGGCATGGTAGGCATGGCGTGGCTTGGTGGGCGTGGCAGGGGAAGGATATTGCAAAATCCCATTCCCTCCCCACCCCACTAACCTGCTTTCCAGCTCCGTTCTCCTGAGCAGGGCAACCAAAGAAGACCCAGCCGATCAGCTGGGACTCAAGGGGAGGCAGAGAATAGATGGAGGCAGGGCCAGTCAGAGGTGGGATTTGCCGGTTCTCCCAACTGCTCAAAATTTCCAGAACTGGTCAGAACCATCTGAATCCCACCTCTGGTTGTTAAGTGAATCTGGCTTCCCCATTGACTTTGCTTCTCAGAACCTGGGACACACTGCAACCGTCATAAATACAAGTTGGTTGTCGAGCGTCTGAATTGGGATCGCGTGACCACGCGGACGCAGCAACGGTCGTAAGTGTGAAGAACGGCCAAAAGAAGTCACTTTTTTCCAGTGCAATTGCAACTTCAAATGGACACTAAATGAACAGGTGTAAGTCGAAGACTTCCTGTTTTGTCAAGAAAACGGCTTGTGGGGGGCGAGGGGATAGCCAGGAAGTCCCCCTAACCTCAAACATGACCCTAAAAGGGATTTAATCTCTTTTATCAGGTTAAGGAGGAAGCGGGGGGGCAGGTGTGGAATGAAAATGTGCAGATTTGCACAGGAGCCTGTTTGGGAAACCAGATTCTCCAGAGAGACAAAACTGGGCGCGGAGAGTGCTAGCTCCATTACTGCTGACTCAGCAAGAAACTCGGTTGCAATCGAGCTGCCAGTGCGCCGGAGCCGCTCCGTTTTCAATGCTCCAGGAAGGAAATGCTCTGGAGGATAAAGACCGAAAAGCATCTGAGCTATTTTGGAGCTCTCGGAAGTGCAGACCGAATGATCTGTTCCAAAAAAAAAAAGTTCAGCTGTATTATGCTCCAACAACTGGAAGCTTTTAAGAAGAGATTGGATAACCATTTGATCTGAAATGGTCCAGGGTTTCCTGCCTAAGCAGGGGGCTGGACTAGAAGACCTCCAAGGTCCCTTCTGACTCGGTTATACTATATTCTATTCTAGTTTCTCTAAACCTTTGGGAGGACCTGAAGACCAGGCCGTAACATGAGTTGGTGGCACTTCGCAGGACAGGCCCTTTTCAAACTAACAACAGAAGAACAGAGTTGGAAGGCACCTCGGAGGTCTTCTAGTCCAACCCTCTTCTCAGGCAGGAGACCCTACACCTGGTTGGTGTTCTGACCAAGGCTTCCTGAGACCGTAATCAAGCACATGCTTAGTCTAAGCAACTCTTTGTTTTATTACAACGGTTGGGAATTATGTGCATTCCCAGCCCATAATGAGCCCCAAACAGTTCCTCGAGATAAGCACCCACCTTTCTCTCCTTGGAATTGCTACCAACAACTAAAGTGCTTAGCTAGGGGCTCTCCTGAACCCCTGAGAACTCCCAGCAACCCACCCCTGAATTCTCAGCCCTTTCAAACACTTGTCTTTCGGGACCTGCCCCTTTCTCCTTAGAAATCCGAGAAAAGAGGGGGTCTGCCTTGTTCCCCCAAAATCCTGCAATTACAGTCTCTGTCTCCCCCACTTCCCCAAGCACCTTCTGCAACACCCACTCCCCATTTTAGACTCCTGAAAGTATTGGGGGGTGAAGGGTGCCTTGTATCTTCCTTCTGTTTCTTTTTCCATAGAATATATTTATATTTTCTTCCTTTGCTGGGGCATCTTGTCTGCTAAAGACGTTTCGATTTATTGCTCTCTTGTGGGGGATCGATTAAACCAGATCTCCCCCCCCCCAGGTCTTGAGGGTGGAAGGGAGCAATTTCCCCACGTCCCAGCTAGGAGAGGAAAGCCATCAAATTATACTTCGGGAATTAGAACCGATCGGATTTCAGGACGTCCAACGATCCATGGCTTTCTAGGAATTGTTTCAATATATTATTTTGCGGGTGGGGTGAGATCTCTGCAAACTACAATTTATTGGCTATTTATGCATTTCAGGGGGTCCTAAAGGGAAAATCGGAGAACAATTAGTGCAAAGAAGGAAATGGGTTGGGGGGAAAAGAATTAAAAGCGAGGATTCGAATCAGTCCATTTTATTTCCTTTCGGGCCTTCTCGGCCCTGTTCAAAAATGCCGATGAGAGCATAGATCCACCCCAGCCATTGAAGAGGGGCAGATGTCACATCCAGATGGCCTTCCCATTGAGAACAGTTTGTGAGGCAGATCTTGTGACTTTGTCTACGCTGGAGGAAAAGTGGCGTCAGGGTGCGGGGTGGAAGGAACGGAAGAGCTGGTCTCGAAAAGTGATGTTTGGTTCACGCAGGGATGGGTCACTGTCAGGAGATCCCAGCAATGTAACCTGGATAGGGAAGTCCAGAAACTGGGAAGAAGCCACTTGACAATAATGGAGACCTACTGTGGTGTAGTGAGGAGAGTGCTGACTGAGAAAGTGGGAGATGGTGAGTTCTAGTCCTGCTAGAAAGGCATGAAAGCCAACTGGTTGACGTTGGGCCAATCACCAGGAGATGGGGGAATTGTAGTCCTGCCTTAGGCATGAAAGCCAGCTGGGTGACTTTGTGTCAATCTGCAGGAGAAGGGGAGTTCTAGTCCCGCCTTAAGCATGGAAACCAACTGGTTGACTTTGGACC